GTGTCAGAGCCCCTCAGGTGTGTCAGAGCCCCCTCAGGTATGTCAGAGCCCCTCAGGCGTGTCAGAGCCCACATCGCTATAGTCAGGGTCCATAGACCCCGGGAATGGCAGGGTTGGAAGACCCCAGGACACGGGGACACAGGGAAAGCCGCACCCAACACCTCCTGCTGGTCCGGGCAGAGTGGGCCTGGCAGCGGTGGTGCCCCCGGGTCCAGGCCGCCACAGGATGTCAGTGTTGTGGAGAAAAGCTGAAGGGTGAAGCGAACGAAGAACAAGAAACCCGCTGCGGAGGCCGGGGCTCCTCTGCTAACTGGGGACCTCGCGCTCACAAGGGAGGCCCGCACTCAAGGCCCAGCCGGAGCTGGCAGCGGCAGGCGAGCCCCATACCCCATCACCCGCAGCCGTGGGGACGCCTCCTGCACGGCTAGAGTCAGCGTCAGGACCTCTAGACCAGTAAGCATCTCCAGAAGTCATCACAGAAGCAACGTTTAAAAAGTGAGCCCCAAAAGTGCTTCTTGTGCAGGACACAGGCTGTTTACTCCTCGGACCGGATTCCAAGGTCACTCCAAGGACAGCATCGAAATCAGTGCCGGTGCTCCCGAGGGGCAGGGTTGCAGGCAGGGCAGGTCCACGGTGGCCCACTGGGCCGGCACACGTGCTCCCTGGGTCGGTGCTGCCTGGTCCCGGGCTCCGGGCTGAGCAGCCAGAACATTCCACAAGGTTCTAGGCCACATGGCAGCCACACCAGTCCCGTACAGCAGCTGCTCCAGCCACAGAGCCTCCGCCAGGCCCACGGGAAGTGAAATGGGGCTGAGCCGGGCCAAGCGTGTGAGCCTCAGGCCCCGCAGTGCCGCCCGGGCCACCAGCAGACAGCGCAGGGCAGAGGGGCCCGCAGGCCAGGGCTGGCCCAGCAGGAGGGACCACCAGGGAAATGGACCAGGGCCGTGTTTAGAATGGACTTTCTCACACAACACACCACCCAGGAGGTGGGCAGAACAGGGCGGCAGGGAGTAACGGCGTGACCGCCTGGCTCCCAGCCCCCTGCCGTGTGACCCTGACCGAGAGCTCCCAGCAAAGACAGTGCCGTCCATCTCTGCCCAGGACCCCGCAAGGCAAGGGCCGCAGGGCAGGGGGGCAGGATGGGCCCTGCGCCTCTGCCCTGCATTTAACATTTCCTTTAACCATGGATGGGCTTCCTCCGGGCTGCCGCACCCAGGACCCGGCACCCACAGATCCGCCACTCAGGTCACTGAATGTCAGGGTGTCCTGGGTCCAACTCTGGGTTCCCAACCTGCTGTGGCTGTCACTGACATTGTGGCCTCACTTTCCATGCAGCTGGTGAAGGATCCTGCATCTCCCAGCATCAGGACAGACATCTGACATCCGGACTCTGCGATCTCAGCTACTCAGGAGCCTGAGGCAGGAGGATTGTAAGGTCAAGCCCAGCCTAGGGGAACTTACTGAGACCCTGTCACAAAACAAGAACTAAAGAGGGCTGGCTGGGGTGTAGCCCAGAGTAGCACATGTGAGGCCCTGGGCTCCATCCCTGAACCCCCAAAAGGCCATGGGAAAGTGTCACCTGGGGAAGAGGGCCGCAGAGCCCCCCAGATCCCAAAGGGTCTGTGAGCCAAAAAGGCGGAGACTCCAGTTGCAGCCCAGCCCCTAGGGTCAGGGCCGCCTTGGTCCCAGCCCAGGGACCCCAGAAAGCAAGCTGCCCTCTCGCGGGCTGGCCGTCTGCTGCTGAGCCTCCCCACACTGCACCAGGGCCAGGTGGGCTCCGAGACTGGACACAGGCGGAGGCCATGCAGTCGCCAGCCCAGTGCCTCCAGGGCACCCTGCACCTGGCCTCGGGCTCTGGGACTGGGGACCTCGCCCTGGTGGCCTCGTTCCGTCAAAAAGTGGTCCAACACGGGGCTTTCCTGAAACACGTTTTCACCCACCCCCCACCCCCCCATCAGTCTGTCCATCTATCTGTTTTCGCTGTCGTTTTGTTTTGGTTTCTGGTTTTTTGTTTTTTTGAGACAGGGTCTCACTTTGCATCACTCACTCACTATGTATCCCAGGCTGGCCTTGAACTCACAGCGATCCTCCTGCCTCAGCCTCCCCACTGCTGGGGTTACAGGTGTGCGCCACCACAGCCGGCTGTCTATCCATCCTAAATTCATCTGTGCATCTACCCACCACCCACCCACCACCCATCCATCCATCTATCCATTCATCCACTGTCCATCCATCTACTCCCTCAGCCGACAGGGGTGCTCTGAGCTGGGGGACCCCTCCCCAGAGAGCCTCTCAGCCCCACTCCCCCGTCCTCTGCCACCCTGCAGATTTCCAAGGGCTGGAGTGTGCCCACCTCGGAGCCCCTGCCTGGAGTCGCCCATCCCGGGGCCGTGCCCCCACCCCACAGGCCCCATCCAGCGGGGCCCACAGCGGGTGGCATTGTCCCCAGGGTTTCTGGAGGGCAAAAGGGGCTGTGGACCCAGAGCAGCACCTATGGGGGGGGGCTGGGGAGGCAGCAGACGGGGTGGTCTCAGGGCCATGGCCCCTCTTCCCCTACAGCCGCTTCCTCCTGGCCCCTTATCTCATGGGCCGCCCGGCTCAGCAAGCCGCAGCCAACGTCCGCCTCCCCACAGCCCAACTGCCCGGCGGGGAGCGGGGAGCACCCAGGTGCCCGGCCTGCGGGCAACTCTTTCCTCTGGCTGCCATCAGAGCCCAGAGCCCGGCAGGAAGCGGCGGAGGGGAGCTCAGGCCAGGAGAGTAGAAGTGTCCTGGGCAAAGGTGCATGGGCATCGCCCACTTGGCTATGTCGTGGCCTCGGCCCCCGGGTCCCTCACTTGGAGATCCCTGCAGGCCGGAAGGTGGCACAGAGGACAGCACAGAGCAGCAGCCGGGCCGCCTCGCAGGGGGCCTCAGGGAAGGGAGGCAGGGATGCAGGACCCGCATGGGCAGGGGGTGCTGGCCACGCTGGCTGCTGCCCAGTCTCAGGAGCGCAGGGCTGGGGCCAGGGAGGCTGGCACCAAGAAGCCCGCGGGGAGAGCGTCTCCCTCCAAGCCGCGACACACTGTGACCCACGCCCGCTGGGCCGCCCGCTGGGAGACCTAGGACCTGCGGCTGACATTAACCTCACGCCAGCACCCACGGCCTGAGAGTCAGGTCTCCTCAACACACGGTGGCGCCTGAACTGCTTGGCCCCCCCGGGAGCCGCAGGGCCCCGCCAGCCCTGCTGACCCGCTGCAGTTCAGCGGCCCTCGGGAGGGAGGGGCTCTTTCCTGCCAGCTCTGGTGCGCTGCCCCGACCCCCACCAGGCTGTTGCCCGGCCCGCTCCCTCCCCCAAGGACCTCGACTCCAGGCCTGGTGAGGCCGGGAGACTCAGCTCTGCGCCGAGCTTCGAGCTTCGGGGGCTCTGGGAGGACAGGAGCACTGTGAGCCCCAGCGGTCAGGTGGCTGGCAGGGCCTGGGGTTCAGCCAGCCCTGCTCCCCGGCCCAGCCGCTCCACCAACGGCCGGGTGGGGGCACAGGAAGGGTGCCAGGGTGCGCAGGCAGGCGGGCGGGCAGGTGCAGACCCCAGGCCTGGGGAGGCCGAGCAGGACGCCAGGGGCCCTGGCCCAAGGTCACGGGGTGCCCCCACACCTGCAGGCGGTGGCCGGCTGGGCGGGGAGAGGAAGTTGTTGGAAAGTCAGACCGGAATGGAACGGCCGAGGGGGAGGCGGCAGGCAGGGCCCAGATGGTTCCTGCAGGGGAAGCGCAGGGTGCAGCTGCGCCACTGCCTTATCAGGGTGACACAGCTGGCTGCCTCTCCCTCTGTCCCAAGCCCGCCCCGTCACATGAGCCCCTGTGGCCTCCCGCCCCTTCCCCATGACCCGCAGCCCAGGCCGGGGGCCAGCGGCGGCTAGAAGGGCTCGGAGCTTCCTGGGGACAGAGGTGCGGGCTCCAGGCCACGAACAGGCCCTGCCTGCTTGTCCCTGCTGTTGCCGAGGGCTCAGTGCCAACTCCTGAGAGCTGCCCAGCGCCCCGCAGCCGGGTCCTGCCGAGGGCATGGCACAGGCACCCTCCACGCTGGAGAGCGGGGCCCTGGCATCTGCGCCCTGGGGTCCCAGGAAGGGCAGCCCAGGTAAGAGACCGGCAAGGCCAGAGAGGCTGGGGCCACGGCAGCGGTGGCGGGAAGGTGGCATCTCCCAGCTGCCACCTGCCCGGCTGTTGGCAGCGTGGCCATGTTGCCCCACCTCAAACATCAACGCGGCGCCCCCGTGCTGCACAGCTGGGGCAGGTGGCCCAGGGAGCCTGGCAGGTGCCAAGCCTGCGTCCCAGCCCCACCCAGAGGCCCTCCCGGCCCGTCCAGGAGGGGTGGCCAGCCACGTTTTCCACCAGGGGACCGTGGCACACGCAGCCTGTCCACAGGCCAGATGAGGAAACTGAGGCCGGGAGAGAGGCTGGCCCAGGTCCCTTGGCTGTCCTAGGGATGGCTGTCTCTGAGGAGGCCCCACCCTTCCTGACAGCCAGCCCGGTGGGTGCACCCCAGGCCTGGGGCTCTGGGGGTGGTGGGTGGCTCTGCACTGGGCCTAGCCACATGGCCTCCTTCTTGGAGCTGCAGGCCCTTGTCCCACGGTGCTCCTGCTGCCAGCTGGGTCAGTGCAGCTGGGGACGCCCTGCCCCTGAAGAGGGCCCACTCCTCATGCAGAGCCTGGAGTGCAGCAGCCAGCAGGGGCTGCCTGGGCTCAGGTGCAGAGTGCAGGTCCCATGGGCTTCTCCCAGTGGGGAACCCCAGGGGGCTTGTGAGGAGGAGGCGTGGCCCACAGCCCAGCCTGGCCAGTCCGCCCAAGATGGCACACCCTGGGCCAGGTCCCCTCACTGGGCCTCAGTTTCCCTGGGCATCAGGACCCCCTGCTCCCGGGGGTGCGACTCCCTGAGCCGGGAAGAGGACAGTGGTAGCTTTGAGAGGCGCAGACAGAGGTGTGTTTGGAGGGGCGCTGCCCCGGCAGAGGAGCCCACTGTGTGCCACAGCCACAGTCTGAAGGGCCAGAGCACTCACGTCCCAGGGTCACTGCATGAGCCCCAGGACCCGCACAGGGAGATGTGGGACACACCAGGGCAGGAAGCACCAGCCGGGGCAGTGCGGGGTGCATCGCACCTCAGCCGGGCACCTCTGGCCCAGGGCCCGCTGTGAGGCTTCTGCCTGAGTCTTGGAGACCTGGGCTGGCAGTGGGTGATTCGCTCCAAGTCCCTTGAGTGTGGTGCGGGGCCTCCACATTGTGCCGCGTGGGGCGCAGCCCATGGTGACCCCCGTGAGTCCAGGTTGTGGGGGCGCTGGAAGGCTGAAGCTACTCGAGAGGTCCTGGGGTGCAGAATGGGCTCCCCAGCACCGGGCCACCAGGGCTGCGGTCAGCCATGGAGCCCGAGTACAGCAGACTAGAGAGGAGCGGGCGTGGCTCACACTTATTAGGCACCCACTGTGGGCAGCAAGAGCCCTGTGGATGGCGCTCGGCAGGGAGGCTGAGGCAGGACTTCGGCCCGCCCGCCTGGTACAAGGTGGAGGGCGCAGGGAAGCGGACCTGGAAAGGTCTCACAGGAGAGCTTGGCCTGATGCAGAGGAAGCGCAAGGGAGAGACCGAGCCAGGCCTGCTGGTGTCTCTTAGGAGGGAAAGTGGGGAGCTGCAGCAAGCCTCAGCTCAAGCGAGGCCACCTCCCGCCCTCCTCCCCTCCAGGCTGGCCCCTCAGTCCGCTCCTCTGCCAGGTTGGCTTCCCAAGACCGCAGCAGCACAGTTGCCCCAGCTGCACTCCGTGCACGTCCTCTCGCCTGTGGGTCCACTCCACTTTGGACAGGAAGTGCCCGGAAAGCCACGGCGCCCGTACGGAACGCACCCAGGCTGGTCTCTGTTGTCCTCCTCCCTGAGCAGCCGGGGGTTGCAGCTATTTATGCAGCATCTCTATCACGTGAGGAGCTGGAGGAGACCAGCGATGTTTAAAGCCGTGCAAGGTGTGCGCGGGTCCCTTAGCCGCGCCCCTTTCTAGGAAGGACGTGAGCACTAACCCCGAGGGACACTGTCCCTCACCATGGACGTGGGACACAGAAATGTGTTGTGTGACTGTGATGGAGGCCACGGGTCTGAGACCAGGCATCAGGGCCGAGTCCCTCCAGTGGCCCAGGCCCCGGTGGCTTCCGGTGTCCTGCCTGGCTGTGCGGCTCCTGTCGCTCTATCTGCCACTCAGTCTCCTCTCCCCCAGCCTCCCTCTGCTGCTCTCAGAGAGGCGCTGGTCCTGGGTAGGGCGGGCCCCATCCCTTCTGCTGCCACCCGCTGGTCCCCTAGCACTGTGGCAGGGGCTGAGGGCAGCCGCATGCCTGGCCTGCAAGGCCTCAGCACCATGGGGACAGGAATCTGCATGGGGCGGCCGGGGTGCAGCTGGTGGGGAGCTCAGAGCCTGAGAAGAGGGATGCGGCCATGGTGACCTCTGACCCGTGTCTTCACCTGACCTGCTGGCCCTCGCCCCTGCCCTCAGGCTGACCGAGGCTCACAGGGCCCAGCGATGGCCAAGTCGCCTGGCCGCGCCCACCTCCCCTGCCCTCTTCCTGCTCGGGTGGTCAGGGTGGCATCAGACACAAGGCCCAGGCAGCCACGCCCTGCGAGCCAACTGTCCCCCAGGGCACTGAGACCCCGGCCTGTGGGTGGGTGGGGATGAGGGACAGACAGGGCCCCCCTGCCCCTCTGGGACTGCGCTTTCTCCCGACGTCCCCTCCTCTGCTGTCCCGGGTGTCAGGCAGTGCACAGCCCAGAGCCGCACCAGCTTTTGGAGGAAGTGGCCCCAGGTGCCCAGGCTGGGCGACTTTCACTTCTCACCATGCAAGGGGCCGACCTGGGCTCAGGGCTCTGCACTTTCACTTCCGGTGGGTGAGCACACTTGACACAGGCACATGGGCAGGAAGCAGAGCCCTGGGCCAGGCTCCCTGTGCAGTGCTCAGAGCTGTCATCTCTGGGGCAGTGGGGCCGGAGGGAGGAGATGAAATGTCATCACCAGGGCGCCACACAAGCCCCCTCTCAGGATGGAGGCCACAGGACCCTCCCGGGGGCAGGTCTGGGGTGGGGCAAAGCCTGTGTCCTCCAGGTCCATGCACTGTCCTCTCCCTGCCTTCCTCCTGCCACTTGGCCCCTCTCCTCTGCGGCGGGCCTTTGCACGTGCCATCCCCCCTGTGGAATCCTGTCCTGTGTCTGCTCAGGGCCCCCTGGGGGGATGCCTGCCAGGGCCTCAAGTCCTCGGCTGAACTGCATCTCCAGTTTCCCCAGGAGCTGCAACCAGGCCCTGGGGTACAGGCAGGTGACACCATGCAGGCACCTGCCGAGCCCCTTAGGGCGGCATCTTCCTGCAACCCTTGAAGGCACCACTGCCTATTCAGAGAAGGATGCATCAGAGAGGCTGTTGCCTGCCCGCCCGGGCCTGTACCTCCAAGCAGGGAAAGGGCCCAAGGCTGAATCCTGAGGGAGGGAGGCCCCTGCCTCTGCCTCCCAGGGGAAGTGAGCCCGGCAGCCTGACCCAGCTGGGCTGCCTCCGAGGAATCCCGTCGGTGCCACCTGACTGCCCATAGCTGACACCTGGACTGAGCTCATCCCAATGCCCCTGATGCCAATAATGAGCCCACACTGGCACAGTCCCTGTGCACGGAGACGGCTGCCACTTTGGGGCCTCTCCGAGGCGCAACCTCCACCCAGGCTATGCCTGCTACTGGTTTCCTTTGCTTTTTCTGAGCGCCCACTGTGCTGTTCAGTGTTCCTGGACAGGGCCACCAACTGTAGCTTCCACCCTCTGCGAGTCCCGTTGCTCTGGGGCAGACACAGGAGCCCCATGGGGGCACAGTGAACACGGGGTGACCACAGACCGTGGGCAGGAAGCAGCCCCTCGAAGCCCCTCGTGCCCCATGGCCTGGCCTTGCCCTGGTGCTTGGGCCGGGGCTGGGGAGGCGTCTGGCTGCACGGGGCACCGTGCTGGGTCTCTGCTCCCAACGTGGGGGTCACAGGCTATGTCAGCGCGCCCGTCCCCATCCCGTCCCAACTGTGTGGGGTGGCCGAGAGCCCCAGCAAGGCCATGGGGTGGGCAAGGGACAGTGGCCTGGCCCTGGCTCGGCTGCCGAGGGGCCGCAAGGAGGAACTGGGAATCTGCCCTGCCTGTGGGCTTGGCGCTTCCTCCTTGCTCCCAGCTGCGCATTCTGAGTGTGTGGAAAGCCCCAGCCCCGTGGCGGCAGAGCAGGCGGGGTGCCGGGCCCCCAGCCTCGGCCCGCGCCCTGCACACCACCAGCCAAATGTGGTGCCCACACCACGGGGCCCTGGGCTGGCGCCACTGCACCCCAGGGCAGAGCTCTGAGCTCTGCCCTCTGGGTCCTTCCTTGGGGGTGAGGACGCTGAGTGTCCACGCACTCGCCGGGGCAGGGTCGGGGCCCAGACCCTGGAGCCCACAGGGCTGCAGGGCACTGTGCTCACAGGTCACCAGGGTCTGGGGCGGCCTCCTGCATGGCACTGCCGTCCCCATCCAACGCCTCTGCGATGCAGACACGGAGGGGTCGACCCCAGGCTTGGGGCTCTGAGAGTCCCGGGGCCTCTGCCACTTGGCTGCCTTGCTGGCCCACCTCCAGTCCTGGTCAGACAGACAGACAGACAGACAGAGAGTGCAGCAGAGCTCCCCAACGCCGCCAGACCGAGGGCTAGGGCCACAGGGTCCCAAACTGGCAGCAGGTGGAGAAAACACCAGTAGATCCTGCCCCGCCCGCTGCCCTCGCCCTGGGGCTTCTCCATCCCCAGATCCTGAGGCAGGGGACATCCAGCTGGGGCTGCACCCAAGCAACAGCACAGTGGGTCCATCCTGGGGCCTGCAGAGGCAGCTTCCTGTCAGAAACCGAAAGGGCCAGGTGTCTCCTGCCTCGGGCAGCTGGAGAGCCGGTGCAGCTGCCCCGTGTCCCCACCCTGCAGGCACCTGCAGTCCCCCTGGGGGCCTGCCCCAAGTGTGGCTGGGGCCACTGAGCCCAGCAGCCCTGGTGGTGGCTTAACAGGCAGCTTTCAGTCTCTATGCAGAAACAAGGACTCAAACGCCTTCACTTCTGCACCGAACACAGGGAAAATGGTAGCTTTTCCGGCACATTGGCCTCAGCAGAACAGAGTCTCAAGGCCTCAGGTGCCTGCTTCCTCTCAGCCTGGGTGACTGTCTCTCTCAAGGCCAGGCTCCCATGGATGCAGGGGTCTGGGGCAGCAAGCGCCAGATCTGAGCGCCCAGCCCCTGATCTCAGGCCTGTGTCCCCATGGCTGATCTTTGAGGCAGGAGCTGCGTGGTGGAGGCCACAGGTTGCATCCCGGGCCAGAGCTTGCTCCTTCCTCCCTCAGCTTCCCGAGACAAGTCGTCTGGCATCCAGAGTGCCCACCCTAAAGCGGTGCCTGGCCCGGGGCAGTCAGGGAGAGGAGGGGCTCAGGTGCCCGAGGGTCCAGCCTCCCCAGCGGCCCCGCCCTGTCTGTAAGCAGGGATGATGACACTGTGCCCTCAGGACTGGACGCACTGAATGGGTGGGCTTGGAGTCGGTCAGGAACCACCAGGGCTCTGATTTCAAGGCATCTTCCTGCGACACTTTGCTACCTCGTTTCTGTTTTGGTTTGGTTTTTGGTTTTTGGAGATGAGGTCTCCCTGTATAGCTCAAAATGGCCTTGAACTCACAGCGACCCTCCTGCCTCAGCCTCCTGAGTGCTGGAATCACAGATGTGCACCACCACCCGCAGATGTTACTTAGTTTCGAAGTGTTACATAAGGCTTCCTCTTCCACGAATCCCATGGTTCTGTGCTGGTCCAGGCGGGGTCATGTGGACCCCAGGGTGGCCATACAGCTGCAGGTACGCTGTGTGTCCAGCACTGAGCTCATCAATTCCCTGTCAGGAGCGATGCCCCATCGCCAGCCCCTTTCCTGTTCCTTTGTGCCCATGTGGCTTTCTGCAAAGCGCCGAACAGGAGCGTACCAGGCCCACATGCTGGCCTTGGGGGAAGAAGTGCTCTGATCACTGCCCCCTTGAGGGAAGGCGAGGTTGGTCCTGAGGGGCAGGTGCAGGTCGCAGGCTGTGACTTTGTCCTCGTGGCCTTGGGAGCTGAGGCCCGGCAGAATGTGAGGTCAGGGGCGTCTCCTCTCGCTCGCCGTAGGAAAGGCCTTTGCGCAGTCCGCATGTCCAGCACAAGTGCTGCCTGCTCCTGAAGTGGAGCCTGCACATGGGAGAGGGGCACTGCCTTCTCCGCTGGCTGCACCGCTTGGCACAAGGGAGCCCAGCCCGTCCCCAGCCCGCCCAAGTGTGTCGTGGTCCCCAGGGGAGGAGGCTTGCTGAGCAGGCCAGGGGCTCCCCTGTCCCCAGCCCAAGCCCAGGGCACGGGGCCCGTGGAGTCCGACCCTGAGCCGCAGTGTGACGCGGGAGCCTGGGGTGACTCAGGTGGCGGAAAGCCCTGGAGTCCCACAGGCCCCGGGGGAAGTCCGCTGCCCTCCGCAGCCATGCGGGGATCGCCTGATGTTGCAAGGGGAAGGAGAGGCAGGGCCGCTTCCCTACTGCGGGGCGGCCCGGGGGAATCCTGCACCGTCTCGGCAGCTGGGGCCACTCCCGCCACCCACCTCCTGCACATCCAAGGATCCGGGGTCAGTGGTGCTTGTAACGCTGTTGCTTGCCTGCCTCCAAAAAACGTTTCGACCCCAGCCCCTCCTAGTGTGAAACCTCTCCCACAAGGGCCACCAGCTCAGCTGCACACAGACAGGGTGGCTGCTTCTTGGGTGGTGATGGTGGCCCAGTGGTCCTAGGGTTGTCAGGACTAACAGCTAACTGCACCCCACACTTCAGCGTTCGTCATGAGGACAGGTCAGAGTGCCCTGGGCAGACATCAGGGGCCCAGAGGACACACGCCCGGCAGGAGACATGGCCAGGCCACACTGGGCATCCTACAAACCCACAGACACAGAACCTGGGTGATTGTGCTGTTCAACGTCGAAGCGCTGCTTCCAAGTGCACCACACATCCTGCCCATGCTTGGCTCATATCGGATGGACCTCCATGCTGCAGATCTGGTTCACAAGAATCAAGGAAATGTTGCTTAAAAACAGCAGCAGAGCTGGCTCCCCGGAACCATCCCACCCAGATGATGTGTGTCAGCTATCAACTCAAATAAGTCTGCTGGGCAATGCCCCATTGCGTCACTTTGAATTCCAATCTGATATAAATGGTTGGATGGTGGTGGTGGATGGATGGGTGGATGAGTGGATATGGATGTGGATGGATGGATGGTGAGTGGATGGATGGATGGATGGATGGATGGATGGATGCTGGTGAGATGGACGGATGGACAGATGGTAGATGTGGATGGGTGGATGGATGATGGATGGATGGATGGTGGATGGACGGATGCTGGTGGAATGGATGGATGGATGGATGGTGGATGTGGATGGATGGTGGATATGGATGTGGATGGATGGATGGATGCTGGTGAGATGGATGGATGGTGGATGGATGGTGAGTGGATGGATGGATGGTGGATGGATGGATGCTGGTGGAATGGATGGATGGACGGATGGTGGATGTGGATGGATGGATGGATGCTGGTGAGATGGATGGATGATGGATGATGGGAAGCTGAGGTCCCACCCTGGATTTCTCCATGCTGCCTTGCCCAGGAGCCCAGGGCACAGGGGCACAGGGGCAGGGCTGAGCCCAGAACATTCTCTCCACGTCTGCCCCAGAACCCCCTTCCATCTGTGCACACACAGCAGGCCACGGCCCTCCACCCAAAAGGGTCACATGTCCCAGAAGGGACAGAGGCCTGGAGCGATGGGGAACCCCCTGTGAAGTGCCCTTGTCTCCGTCCCTGTGTGCAAGACTGGCAACCACTCAGGAGCTCCCCGGAGCCCAGGACACAAGCTGGCTGTTGGGCCTGGGGTCTGCCTGGCCACTTCACCTCCGGTGCACAGGAGGCGGACAGGGACAGCAGCTGTGCAAGTTGGGGGGTGCAGCTGGCAGTGAACGTCCCCTCAAGGGTCTCTGGGCGCCGGGCACCACAGCAGGGACCTGGCTGAACACCAACCTGAGCGCGGGACCCCAACGCCGACCATGCGGCCTCATTTTCTTGAAAATCCGGGAAAGGAAGACTGCAGCACCAGAAGGTGCACCCGTGGTCACAGGGGAGGGCAGGGGCTGGGAGCGACTGTCACGCACGGGAGTTGCTTTCGAGGGGACCCCATGCCCATGACGGTCGCACAGCATGCATGTCCTTGGCGTTAAAATGGTGAATTTCATGTTCTATTTTTCCACAATTGAAAAAAATCTTAACTTTCATTAGAAAAGAAAGTCTGGCATAAGGTGAGCCCTGGCCAGGCCCCGCTGTCCCCCAGCTGCAGGGTGGGGACCCGGCCAGCCCTGCCATGCTGCCTGCCACACCCTCTGCTGGGTGTTATCTCGAGGCCACCTGTGCCCACTTCCTCCTGGCCAGGGAGCCCAGGGCGTCCTGCCCGGTGGCTTCCTATTCACAGCCTCCAGCTGCTGCCCCGTGCCCCCCACCCCTGCCAGTGGAAGTTATGGGGACACAGCGTGCACACTGGGTGCCCGAGTGGGCCCCAGAGCTGTGTGGGCGAGGTCAGGTGTGGCTGGGCCCAGCCTGGGAGCAGAGAGCCCGTGAGACCAAAGGAGTCAGGAGGGTGCTAGGGAGCTGTGATCTCTCCTGGTGGTGACCAGGCCCTGCCGCTGCCCAGGCGCACTCACCTGGACCCTCTCCAGGCCCGGGCGGGAGCGGCTAAACAGGCGCAGCACTTTCTGCTCAGCAACCTGGGCCTCTGCAGGCAGCCAGGAGTGGCGGGGTCCTCACCTCCAAGGACTGGCTCAGTGCCCCGCAGTGAGGTGAGACTGTGTCCCTTCTGGGTCTGCTGGGCGGCGACTTCTGCAAAAGTATCCAAGGAAATGCGTTTAAAGCAAACATCACAACTGAGCCTGGCATGGGCTCAGGCCCATGCCTGTAATCCCAGCACTTAGAACACCAAGGCAGGAGGGTCTCTGAGAGTTCAAGGCCAAGCTGGGCTACAAAGTAGACCCTGTCTCAAAAAACCAAAACCAAAAACAAACAAACAAACAAATCACAGCTGAGGGCAGGGCCAAGGAAATTGCTGTTGCTTCCCTGCAGATCCCTGGTCTGTGGGTGCCCTGAGCACCAAGTCACAGGCTGCTCGTGAGTGTCCCTGAAGGCTGAAAGCAGTTGAAAAAGCCGCTGTCATCCCAGCAGGCCAGGAGGCTGAGGCAGGAAGGTCAGAACTGCAACCCCAGCCCAGGCAAAGAGGAGGGGAGAGGAGAAGAGAGGAGAGGAGAGGAGAGGAGAACAACAGGAAGGACAGGGTGGACACACCAACCAGGTCAGCGCTGACGCGGGGGCAAGGAGATGACCTGCAGCTCGCGCCCTGCTCACTTGAGACCTCAGCCGGGTCCCAACCCTCTCTGGCTGTCCCCTCATCCATGGATGCCACTGCAGTTACAGTCAAAGTCCAGAGAAGCAAGTATTTTTCGTATCAGTTGCTTCTCAGTGTTGCCCGGAATGTGCTTATACTACAATTATTGCTGAGCTGAAATTCAGATTCTACTAAGCATCCAACATTTTTATTTTCCGAGTCTGGCAACTCTATCCAAGAAGGATTTGAACACGGATTCCAACAGGATTGCACTCAGCTGCAAACAGAAGGAAACCCAGGCGGGCGGGAGCCCTGGACCTGCACCTAACAAACCCGAGCGGGCAGGGCAGCCCTGGGCCACCAGGTGTCTGTGCACTTCTGCCCTGGTCTGTGGGCTCTCGCTCGAGGCTTCCCGCCTCCAAAGTGGCTGCCCCACCTCCGGGGTCTGTGTTCCAGGCAGGAAGAAAGAGGAAGAGAGAAGGGCGGAAGACTAAAATGGGCCGGTTTTATGAGGAAGCTTCAGACCCTGTGGGCCTCTGTTCCTGCCCGTGACACAACTCCAGGGTCTGCACTGACAGACGGTGCTGGGTTTTCTGTTTCACTTTTGTCTTTTCGGTGCCAGGGATTAAACCCAGGGCCTCCACACTGCACGACATCCAGTTCTTTGTTATTTTTTTACTTATTTGCTTTTCTTTCTTTCTTTCTTTCTTTCTTTCTTTTCTTTTTTTTTTTTTTTTTGAAACAAGGTCTCACTAAGTTGTTCCTAAGTGGCCTAGGCTGGGCTCAGCCTTGGATCCTCCTGCCTCAGCCTCCCAGAGGTGTGCACCTCCACACCCAGCCGACTGACAGTGCTTGACCCTGGTCAGCTGCTCTTGGCCACAGCTCCCCATATGGCTGTCCACCTAGCCCCTGTCGCCCTGGTGATGGTCCTACCCTCAGCCCACAGTGGGTGAAAGGTCGGGCAACTTGCCTCTACCTGGGGAGCTGGCCCTGGCTCCCGTGCCCCACTTGAGTCACTCTGCCAGCACTTGCTCGGCCTACATGGCCCAAGGACAGATTTCTCCAGCCCCAGACCCGAGCTCGGTGGGTGCCTGGTGGGCAGGCACCAGGTGTGGCTGGACCCCTTAGCAGAGGAGACTGCAGCCCCTGCTGGGGGCAGTGAAAGACCACGTGGCCCTGCTCCCCGGGTCTCGGATGAGCCCGGATCGACCCAGCAGGGCAGGCAGGGGCACTGCAGGACCGCCGGGTGCAGCCTCAGACTTGAGACACAGCACACAGCACCTGTCCCATCGGCCTCGCCAGGAGGTCACTAGCAACAGCCTGACAGCCACCTCCACCACCACCTGGGGGCCTCACCGAGTCCCAGGAAACTTCTCCTTTCCTCCCAAGGACAGTTCCCCATCGCGGCCACCAGCCCTCGAGTTTCAGTGCCTGGAGTTATTTTAGGTTCCCCTTGGCCACGCCCGGGCCCTGCCCCTCCTCGGAGAGCTGTGGCTCTGAGCGGCCAGGGCCGCCGGCTGGGAAAGGATCCAGAGCCCATGCAGGGTGTTTTGCACAGTCTGCACAAGAGCAACCATCGCTGCAAAGTAGTATCTGAGTCTGCATCGTCCCCAACCAAGCCCTGTGCAGTGAGCGGCCACCCGGTCCCTCCCGGAGCCTCCGGCCATCACTCGCCTCTTTCCGTCTCTGCGGGTCTGCCCCTGGGGACCCGGTGTGGGGACAGAGTCAGATGGCGGTGGCCTTTTGGCCAGGGCACGAACTCACCACACAGCACACCCAGGCCTGTGGCTCATCCTTCAGTCCAGGCAACGCCTGGGCCTGGGTCAGTCCCACACACAAAGTGAGCCTGAGGCTCCAGTGCAGCTTCTGGTCTCTTCTGGGGGTCCAGGCAGGTCAGAGCAGGGCCTCCTGCCAAGCATCCACTGCCAGAGACCTGGCCGCATCCTGGGACGGCAGGGACCAGCTGGCAGCGCCAAGAGTCTGGCCACAAAGAGCCTGCAGAGCTCATGGCCACCCTGCCACACACAGCCCAGGCCTTCCATGATGTGTCCCCAGGATGCGGGGATGAATAGCAGCTGGGGAAGAGCCAGGAGGCCTGGCAGCCAGACCAGGGCTGCTGGAGGCTGTTCCCCCACTGGGAAGGGCAGCAGGTCAGCTGGGAGCCCCGCAGTCCCTTCATGCTGAGTGACCGTGGGGGCAGTCACAGACTCCCTGTGGGCATGGTGGTTGTTCACTTATCAGTGCCAGTGCCCCATGCCATCTCGGCAGCACCCCTGTGTGGGGCTCCGATATCCTGACCCCCGCACACCACGGGGCAAGAAGCCAAGGGCTGTGGTGGCCATCGCCTGGCTCTGACCCAGCTGTCATACACCAGCAGGGAGGAGTCTCCGCGTGAATGACACAGAGCAGGCACCTGTGTGAGTGCACTTCCTGGCCCAATGTTGTGGGCAGAGTATGACTTTGAGGCCAAGACCAGAGTAGGCGCCATGTGAGGAGGCTTGGGAGCTGGGACACTTTCTGGGCCAAGGACTGATGGGCCGGGAGGGGACTGGAAAGGCCAATGAAGGGAGGGGTTATGTTTGTGTTGTTCTGCTTTGGCTCTAAAGCACCCCCAAGTCCACGTGGGAACGGCAAGGCTGCTGGGATGGGCTCTGCGGAGGCAGCTACATCTTGAGGGCTCTGATGCACCACCAATAGGCTAACTACTGGTGACAGTGTCATTTGATGGCATCATCAGGGATAAGGGAAAGTGAGGAGGTGGACCCTGGATGCAGGGGGAGAGGCCTGGACACAACATTGGGCACCAGCACCTTCCTCCTGCTTTCCTGGCCACCATGACATGAGCAGCTTTCCTCCACCACAGCTTCCACCGTGATGTTGCTTTGCCACATACCCATGGACTGAACCCTTGGCAACCCTGAGCCAGAGTAAATCCAACCTCCTTGAAGTTGTTCTCGGATTGGGCCAGTGGCAGAAAGCTAACAATGCAGCTCTGACTCGGGACACTGTCCTGACATGAGTGGCAGAAGTCCAACCCCTCCAGGGACCCGGGGACTGCAACCGTCTGCGCCCCTCACCATGCACATGGACTACACGGCCGCAGGACATCCCCCGTCTGGCTCTCAGCCGAAGCGGAACAAGCACTCAAGCCAGTGGCTCCTGTGGTCCGAGACCAGTCATTTCCCCAGAGAGGCCATGGCGTACCTGGATTCGCCACGTTGCCGAAACTGCTCTCCTGCTGTGGGGAAAAGCAGAAAGTAGGACATGAGAGGCTCATGACCCAGGGGGCTCCCCTGAACCCCGGCCAGCCTTCATCACTCCATCTGCAGCCCATGCTGCTCCAGACATTTGTGCTGCCCTAACTCCTGTCTGCACAGCGCCGTGAACAGTGGCAGCCAAAGCGGCAGCAGACACGCGCATGTACACTGCTGGATCGATTTCCAGGTCTGGGCGTGACCACCAAAGTGCCTCACGAAGACACCTGCACAGGGAGACCTGCTGAGCCGAGGGAGGTGCTGGTTTCCTTCTCTGTGGCCAGCCTGGGGGTGGGAGAGACAGACTGACAGCTCCAGCCTTGGGCTCAGGGGCCAGTGAGGTGACGTTTCCTTGCAGCCGGTGGCTGAGGGTACCCAGTGGAATGAGGTGCGTGGAGCCTTCCTTGTCCGACTTCAGGTCGCTCCTGCCGGAGGGCTGGGACAGAGGGCCAGGAGGGAAACGCCTGGGCAGGGCACGGCAGGGCTGGCAGGGGTCCTCGGCACCACTGCTGCTCTCGAAATCTGAAGACTCGAGGCTCCAAGTCACTTGCAGCGGTGGAGAAAAACTTTTAATTACGCAGGCAGGCTCAGCGGACTTTGTACTCCCAAGTCTGAGGGCTTGACTAGAACAGGAAGCCCCTCATACAGGGCCAAGGGGTGGGCAGCGTGCTTGCTGTGGCAGGGGTGCAGTTAGAGAACATTCCCGAGAGGGGCGGAGCTAAAAGAACGCTTTGCAGGTCTCCCAGGTCCCACAGCTGCGGAACATTCTGATACATTGGGCAGGGGCTCCGCTGACTGCGAAAACTGTTACATTTCCGGAACAAAACATTGTGTGGAAAACACAGCGGGGCAGGGCAAGGGTTAGTGGCCTGGCTTGCTGAGCGGCACTGCGCTGTCACTGGGCCTCCGGTCCTCCTCAGCCGCGTCTTCTCCCCCAGCAGCCCCCACGGTGCAGGCTGCCCGGGGGGCACAGGGCTGAGGCGGAGCCAGACTCCTGCCGTGGACTGTGGGCCTGGGTGCGGCCGAGCGAGCGTGCTCACGCCTTCTTCCCAGCACAGCCGCCAGGGGCTGCGGCTCCCAGGGACGGCTGCCCTGGCGGAAGTGGCCTAAGGAAAAAACTAGCATCCTGCCCGGGTGGGAGGGGCGGGTGACAGCCACGCCCGGCCTGCTTTCGGCCGCCTGCTGCCTGCCCGCCCTCGGCCAGGGCTCGCTGAAGCTTTGCACACTTGATCACGAGTCCGTCGCTTGCAGACGCCAACTCCGCGGTTCCCACCCGGCGACCCTCGTTCTAGCTTTCATTCGTGTTCCTGGGACTGGGGAACAGGGAAGCGCATGACCTGAGAAGCCGATGGCCAGGGATCCCAGAGCACAGCCAGGACTCCGGGACCCCCGAGAGCTGCGGGTCTGGAAGTGCGGGCCCAGGGTGGTTGACTCAGCAGCGGGACGACACTTTCAGGGGCCCCAGTGTCAGAGTCACCCCCGCGGCAGCCCCTGTGGGCTGACAAATCCCCTCTCACCCGCAGACAGCCCCAGAGGCCTCGGCAGTCCAGGAGGCGCTGAAGTTCTCGCTCTCCGCTCATTGGCCAGAGCTGGGTCACGTGCTCCAGCTCTCGGCCTAACTGGCTGAGGCTAGATGCCCAGGCCACACCGCTCTACCTCATTGGCTGGAGCTGGGTGATGTGCCCACGCCTGAGCCAATGCCTGTGCCTCGACTGGACTGGCAGGGTCCCTGGGGGCCCAGGAGACCTCAACCAGGACCAAGAGGCTTGGTGAGCCAGAGGCCAGGTGGGACCAGGAGCCAAGCAGATGGGACCCCCACAAAGACTCCCCCAAAAGCTACTTCATGCAAGGCTGGTCCCACGGTGACCGGTAGAGTTGCCTTGGCACATCCTTGCCCCTGGAGCAGCCACACACCCTTCTGTGTACAGCCGCTGGTGCAGTGCACGGTCCCCACAACCTTACACTGCAGTCGTTAGCCGGGGGACAGCTTCTCCTGCTCACCCATCCCTGGCATGCAGCTTAGGCTCTGGTTGTGTCTCCTTTCCTACGAGCAGGGCCATCTTGGATCTGGGCTGGGCCAGTCTTATCAGGGGAGATGGCCCAGGGGCTGGGGAGCATCTCCCCTTAGGTCTCTTTCCCTGCCTTCTGGTGCACCTTGTGGGTCACCAAGACCCAGGGAATCGGGGTCCACATCTCTCGGCTGCTGGCTTGGGCACTGTACTGTGGTTCCCAGCCTCCTGGACTCGTGGAGGAAAGAAAGGCCACCTCTCCCTGCCTGGGACTGGCCCGACGCCTCCTCCACCTCCACAGAAAACAGGTCTTTTTGCAGCTCTGGAGGGTTCCAGCCTTTCTGTGGGACAAACCAAGGACAGCAGAGTCACCCTATCTGCTCACTATCAGCAGAGGTCATTTTTATGACCAGGCTCTGTGTGGCTGGGACATCTGACCCCCGAATCAGCCACACCCTAAACCTGGACTCGGCCCCTTCCTGACCTGCTTGCGATGCAATGTGGGCTCCAGAAGATTTCCCACTGAAAAGCAGGAGTGGAATTAACGTCCGACTCTTTTCTCTGCAATAAACACTATTCATGCACACGTACACAAACTACTGAAAAAAGTGCCCATCCCTCTTGTTGGGAGATACATTTCCAACCAAAACTTACTTCCCTGCTCAATAATTCTCAAAATGTACTGTGAATTTACATTGGCTTGTATCAGTTTCTACTACTAATAGTAGAGTGACAATCCAGTCCAGAAGATACATTTTACTTTAATTCAGAAAATCGCTTAAACCTCAACATTGCGATTTATTTACATCGTTTAGCACACCTAATGGCCTTCATACGTGAAAACATGAGTGAGGTCTGTGGGTGCAGAGTTCCAGGGATCGAGGAAGAGGAACTGTGGCAAAAGTCGCTTGCTTTGCTTTTTCGTCTGCTCAGACCTCATGCTATTCATGTAAATGTTTAAAATGTCATCAGTATTTATGGTTTGGTTGGCTGGGCTTCTTTCATTTACAGATTTAAATTTCAGAGCAGGGCCTGGGATTTAGCTCAGTGGTTCCGCCACCTGCCTCGCAAGCGCAAGGTCCCGAGTTCGATCCCCGGTACCAAAAAAGAAATAGACTTAAATTTCAGAGCAGGTTTGGGTTTGCAGGAAACCGAGCTGAATGTAGAATCCCGCAGATCCCGGCCTCTTGTTCCCCACAGCCACAGGGCTCTGTCACAGCCGATGAGCCATCACAGTCTCACTGTTGTTGACCAGAGCCTGCAGTTCACATCGCACTTCATTTTATTTACTTGTTTTATTGGGAGACAGGGCCTCACAAAGTCACTCGAAATTGTGGCCCGCCTGCCTCAGCCTCTTGGAGTGCTGGGATTGTAGGGATGCACCCCCATGCCCGTGGGCTTCACTTTTGGGTTTTGCCTTCTGTGGGTTAGGCAGCTGTGTAACGCCCCTTGTCCACCACCACTGTCCCCAGGTGTCACCCCACTGCCCTAACCACCCATACTTCTGTGCGGACCTGTCCTGAACTCACTTGGGTAAGGAGCGGAGCCGGGCAGGGGCTGCACCAGACGTCCTCTGAAGGGCGACCCACACCCCTCACCGCCAGCTGCTGCTGTTTGGGTTTGCCGGGCGCTCTCTCTATTCTCAGTCGCGCTGCCTGGTGCCGGCGAAGGTGAGCACCTCTTCACACGCTGACCTGTCCCATGTGTCCTCTTCAGGACGTGTCGGTTCCATCTCCTACCTTTTTGGACGCTGCTTCCTCTTGCTTAGTGCTGAGGCTTCTTTGTACACCTTGGGTAACGTTCTTTATGACCCTCTCAAGTCCTAGTCCATGGCCAGTCTTCTGAATTTTGTAATAGCATCTCTTGCAGAGGAGTTTTAAATTTTTAACAAAACCCAACTTATCAAACTTCTCTCATTGATCTCATTTTGGGTGTTACATGTAAAATCTCATTACTTTGAGTAGGGGACTGAGTAAAAATTCAGATGTTTAAGGACAACTTATTCTCGTCTTTTAAACATGGTTGCTGGCGGTTACCATAGCTCTTAGGGTTTGCAGACTCTGTTAACCGCCCTTTGATTTATATTTCTGGCATGTCAGCTTTTATGCTTTTGGCAGCTATCTAAACTTCTGAAGATTTTTAGACAAAATGGAGAAATATGTCGGGTGCTTGCAGCCAATCAGAACCTTTGCCGAAGGTGAGCGTGGGGTGGTGCCTGGTCGGACCCCTGCCCCACCGAGAACCAGCCCGGGCACATGAGTCCCCAGGGTCGCTGGGCCCAGCCAGTGTCCTCATCAGACAGACAGGCCCGGTGGAGGGATGTGGGGGGCTTATGGGCCGCAGGAGCAGCACAGCTCGGGCCGGGGGAACCGTGTCCCTGTAAATTCCATCTGTGTCAAACCTGAGCTGGGAGCTGTGGGGCTGAGGAGTGTGGTGCTGCCCCTTGGGGAAACATCAGCCTGTTTTCCTGAGAGGCCCAGCTGCAGGTCAGCATGGCCTGTGCCCTCGGGGCCATGTCTGCTCGGGCTCCGTGCAGGGACTGGCACCAGTGGAGGGCTGGCTTCTCCGAGGACAGCCTTGATGCCTCCCTTTAATGAAGTGAGCTCTAGCTCACAGACATCGGGCCACTGGGAGCAACCTCGGACCCTGATTTCCCAGCCCAATGCCTATGTTGGTTCGGCCCTGCCTGTGACTAGGTCCCTGGGTCAGCGCTTCACCTTGCAGAGAAGCCTGTGAGTGCTTTCCAGCCAGCCTGGGTCCCCTCCCTCGTGTCACCAGCAGTGTGCAGAAGGGGTGGCTCCACCTTTCCAGCCTGAGAGTCTGGGGGTCCCAGTCACATCTGGCGGTGGTGCAGAGAGGCAGGCATGGGGCCCAGCGGTGCCGGCTGCTGTCAGGGCCCAGGGGACGGTGACACTGCCGACACACCTGGCACAGACAGTAGCCCACTCCACTGTGCGTCCCTGCCCCCAGCTGGGCCCGACGCAGGCGCCTCTGGGCCATGTCATGAGTGGGATCTGTCCCAAATGGCCGTGAGCGCACCTTGGGCCAGGGCGTCGCACTGCTCACTTAACAAAGAAGGTCCCAAGAACGAGGTCACGGGGTGGCGTCTGCACTGGGTGAGGCCAGTTTCTCCCTCCAGAGCTGTCCCTGGCTCCCTGAAGCTGACCTCAGGGCTACAGCAGAGCTGCTCACTGCCCACTTTTGCACTGCGGCACCTCTTAAGTCTGGGGTCCTGGGTGTCTGAGTGTTTTCCTCTCCTCAGAACCACTCACCGCAGGGAGAGGCCAGCGGCCAAGGGCGCCCGGGGAAATTTCTTCGCCCCTCCTCAGCAGCTGGGGCTGTAGTGGGGTTGAGGACAAGTCAGCCAGGAACCTGGTAGAGGGGCTTTTCTGGCCCATTGCTGAATGTCAGGCTGCCAATTAGACACCTTGGGTCTTCACATGCAGATTTATGCCAAATGAGATGTAAATCAAGACGCGGGGCTCTGAAGTCCAGGCCCCTCGGTTTCCCAGCGCGATGACCCTGGGACCCCTGTGTCTCTGCGAAACAATGTAGGCGAGGCGAGCCGGGTGGAAACAATGTAGGCGAGGCGAGCCGGGTGGGAAAGGCGCGGGGTGCTGTGCGCCTCGGGCAGAGGCAACGCAGCGGGGGGATAGAGAAAGTGGGGCGCGCCGGGGCGGGCAGCGGCTCCGGGCCTCTCTGCAGGTTGGCACGAACACGAATGATATGCAAACGAATGCAAAGCAGATGCGGCCGCCGGGAACCTGCGCGCTCCCCGCGGGTGGCCCTGCGCCGCGGCCCCGACCCAGCGCTGCGAGGAGCGTGCGCCCCCTGCCGGCCGCGCGCGGAGGTGGCCCCGGGCCCCGGCGGCCGAGCGCAGGGAGGGAGGGCGGGCGCGGGGGGCGCGGCGGCCGGAGGAGGCGCGCAGGATCCCCGCCCGCCGGGCGCGGATGCCGCGCTCCGAGCCGGGAGGCCAGCGGCCGCGACTCTCCGAGGTGGGTTGCTCGGCGGCGCGGTTGGGCCGCGCGTGCTCGGGGGCCTGCGACCGGGCGGGCGGGGAAGGTGCCGCAGCCGGCGCCCCAAACCGGGCGACTCTGCGGGGGGCGGGCCGAGTCCTCGGGTGGGGGCCGGGGCGGGGCGGGGCGCGGATCCCAGGGCGCCCCCTCCGCGCCCGAGGCGGGGCGAGCGCGGGGTGCGGGGCGGGAGGCAGGTGGCGCGGGCGCGGGCAGAGGCAGCGGCGGTGGCCGCGAGGCCGGACCGCCCGGCGGGTGCGCGCTTTGTTCCCGCGCGGCGACCCCCGCGTGGCCCCGCGGCCGCCCTGTGCCAGCCCTGCCGGAGCCGGAGGAGAGGGCGCGAGGCCGGCCGTGCGCTCACGGAGGGAGCCTGGAAGGCTGAGAGGGAGCCCGCCCGGCACTGGGACGTAAGTGCCGCGCCCCCCGTCCGGCCGCGCGCTGCAGTTGGGGTCCGCGCCTCACCCCACCCCCCACTTTGCAAAGTTTGCGCTGCGGCCGGGGCAGGGGCTGGGAGT